CTTTCCCCCTAACTCTCTAATCTAATCTAAAAATATTTAAAAAATTTAAGAAATTATATTCTCTTACCAATATTGGCTGATTCTATAATGACTATCTGGAAATCCTTAAAACTCGAGTCCTCACCACTTGTTCGTCACACAACACAAACGAAACGAAACCTAACTCAACAGCTCCGGGTGAAATTCGACTGTAAATCCGGGATTTTAAAAGTTCTTCAATGTAAAACGTGTGTGGAACAGTCGAAAATAATTTAACATTACTGGTACACAAAACGGCTTTATAGTTATCGCATGGGACAGATGATGGCGCGAAGCCAGTTAACGATACGACTAATTCGTTGCCGGGGAGAGTTGGTTCTCTCGAGTGCCTCCACAAGAACTGGACACACACTAACGCATACGATTGTTGACTGAGGAGGAAAACCGGAGTGACTCCTCAGTTCAGTCGTGAGTGAACGGACAAGGTGATGAGGATGTGGCAGAGAGGGGAGTGGGTCAAAGTTGTGGGTTCACTAGGTGGGCCTTTTTTCTCGTTTATAAATAACATTGAGTACCTTTTCAGCTTGCACTCGCAAATATGACTTGGACTTTAAAATTTAAAGTCCAAAGTGGGCCTCACTGTTCTTGACCCACCCGGGATTCGAACTCGAAACCTTGCGCACGTGAGGTAACGAATTTACCCACTGCCCTAGGTAGCACTTCTACTTGGGTGTTTGAATTTTTCACGAGACCGTTGTCGGTGGAACGACGCGATAGGAACTACTGTGCATTCGATATGACCCCAGACTTGTTCGGGCCCCGCAGCCAATTATCGGGGACTGAGAGGGGCACTCGAGGAACAGGTGGTGGGGGAATACCACTTGCCATTGTGAAGGCATTCAATGTTTTTCCTCAGGGCTCCGCGTCATAGATTTCGAAATTAGGCAGGTCGTGACAGATATCTTCTAGGATGATTCATGAGGGGATCCCTCATTTTCGAATTGTCAGGTCGAGTGGAAAAGTGGGAGTCTAGGCTAGGTAAAAAAATTTTCGAGAGCTAGGTTTACCCGTAAAATATCAACTGCACGATATCGGTTTGGCTTTTTTTTTATTAGTTTCTCGGCATCGGGCGACAATTCTCGTAATAAATAAAAATCGTGTTGAAAAATAAGAAGCTGTCCTGGTAACAGAGAATGGAACGTGATGTTGCGATGAATATACAGCTGACAAGGCGAATTGCCCTGAGTACACACACCATCAAGTAGAGGGGGAACAACTTCAATACCCATTCTCTGATCCAATAAACTCATGAGTAGAGCCCACATATGTATTACAATACGCGGTAATAATTCATATCATTGCACAAAAAGCCACTGAACCAATGATCGTCAATAATAAAAATATGGGATAATTGAGTTTATCTCGTGCAGGCTATAGGCTATAGCTGATCCCATGAAAAACCGGTTAATATTATGAGTAAATACGACGAATGCGAGGAGAATCAAATGGCCCTATTTATTTACACTTGTTATGAGAGTTCATTAGACGATTGAGGATAATACAACCCTTCGTTGATAAATTTCCCGATGAAATCTACTCCATTAATTAAATAAACTAATCTAGAAATCTGGAGATTTGATTTTTTATTTGGAAAAAAGTTTCATCAATGGGAATCGACAACGAGAATTCAAGCGTAATCTCGTCGAACCCAGTGACTAATCAATTCTCCACTACCCAGAAAGCAATCCAAGATGCATGACAAGTGATTATATCACAAAAAAAAAAGAATTAAAAAAACTAAACGGAAGATCTCTCGTTAAGCGCATAATGCTCTCTACAAATATGACCCTTCCACATTGTGTACACATTTGTTAAACCGCGCGTTTATTTATTTATTCTTTTTTTTTCACAATATTTTTTCAACTCCGTCGTCATCCTCAATCAAGAGATCAACACAAGCGGTCGCATTAGACACAAAAAGAAGGGAAAATAATGGGAGAGGGAAACGAAAACGAAATAAAGTCGTATGACTCATGTCTCACACACCACGCATTCCTACATGATGTCACCACTGTGTGACCACCACGAAGAGTTCACTTCTGATATCAGGAATAAACAATGAAATACAAATAATGAATATGGATTACCGTCTGGGGAGAATGCGGTGAGAGTTCGAATGGGGAAGATGTATCCACTGGTAGATAAATGTCCACTAAATGCACTAGAATTCTTTTTTTTTTTCCTTTCCACCCGGCAATGTGATACCTGAGACATCCCCACCTTTACTCAACTGATAAGAAAACCGCCGGCTGTTGCATGCGATTTATTTATCACTTACTTGGGAGATAAACGTGGGAGATAGCGTTTTTGCAAAAGGTTGTTTCCTCCATGTGGGACATTTGTATTTCACCGGTTTCTAGTCGACAGTTAACCATCGGCTGGAGGAGAAATTCACTGGTCATTTTATTATCGGAAAGTACAGATGCAGATCGTCGGTTTTGCACCCGGGATAATCTTATCGGAGTCGTAATTCAGCTTTCAATTATGGGCCGGGGGTCAACGGCGAATTATGGATAGCCTTTAATTATTTTGTTTAGATATTTCCATTAAATGGGTTGATTGGAATCGTCTCGGGGATTGTATATTATTTTGGTGCAGAATGAAATGTTAAAAATAAATAAATGCCACAAGAATAAAATTATAACATTCGGTTAATTCTTCCGTTTACGTCCGTTGAGCTCTAATGAAAAAATTTATTACGAAAGTTCGCTACAGTTCGGTTAATCGCATTCATTTGTCTGTGACTGCTTTAATTGTCCCAACTTTCACAGTTTTTCTTAATTATATTTTGTCTTTCTATTCTCGTTTCAATGGAGTCCCTCAACAATTGTGGGAAAAGACAAGTCACTGGTTATCACCTTGCTCTACATCATTGCAACCTCTCATTGTAACACTTGCGAGTAATTTGCAAGAATGACACGCATTTAATAGGTTGTGGGTTAATTGAAGAATTGAATAAATCAATGAATAATGTGCCTCTTACCTTGATTACATTAAATAATGTTGCATGCAGAAAACAAGGACACTCAGCTAAAAAATGAAATAACGAAAACAAAACGTAAGAATAAAGCCATTGAGGAATGACAAAAATCCCATTTAATGTTGGCACTGGATGTACAGCGGGCTTTATCCTTTTTTCTCGTGCAAAATTCCAAATAAATTCCATCGCTCGAATGATGAATATATTTATTCATTTTCACATCCTCATAATCCTAGTAAAGATACAATCACGCCGAAAGCATTAAAAAAAAAAACATAAAACTCAATGAATGTAAAGCGCAAAAATAAATCAAGACGATTGCATACATGGCGATAATATTTATTGGCAAAAAAAGAAAAAAAACAACAGTGTTATATATAATGCACTATAAATCCCTTAAAAACTATAACAAGTAGTCGTGAAATATTCACCCAATTCATAGATAGCCTGATCTATTTTATAACTCGATAAATATAAACATTATTTTGTGCCTTGTCGACATGTTTATTCAAGCTCGTATAATCTACTGGTAATTCACGTAATTTACGATGCCAGTTATTGGAGAATAATCGTCATCTTTTAATACCTTTGCTTTAATACTTCCTCATATTTCGTACAAACAATACGAATTTCAACAGTTATTGTCGATTGAATTTTATGGCATTTATGCTACGATATAAAATATGTGGAGGGGAGATATGTGATTATGCGACGAAAAAATTCGAAAGCATTTACAATAATTTTCCATAAAAATAGATAAAAATTTCTGATAATCGTTAAAACTAGTGAGAATAAATTTCATTGAAAAAGAAAAAGTCAATTCGTGACATCAATCCGTTGGCTTGGCTTAAACAATTAAAATTGTATAACATAATAACACGATATGAGTAATGATTTGCATCACAGATTTATTCTTCCAATTGTCCGCAATACTCTAAAAACTATAATTTTGCCTGAACACTAGAACTTATCATGCGAATATCAATGCGTTATTAACGACAAATATCAAAGAATAATTTTCGCATTATTAACAGTCTGATTTAAAATGGTGAATATTAAAATATACGAAACGAAACGATAAAATAAACAATAACGGGAAGAATTCCATTATTTATCCGTCAATAATAATACAGTGCGGAGCACCGACAAAAATTATAAAACCAATGGTTAACAAATGGTTATTAAAATTACTCATATATATCCAATCCGATAAAGGGAAATTAAAACACTCAGTCAACTTGGGAGGGAAGATTGTATGCAATAATACCGACGGTATAATTTTCACTTGCAACAGCAAACATGTATACTATTTTTACGCCCCTCATATTTGCCATAAAAAATGAATGCGAAAATATATGCGCCAAAAAATATCAAATTCGGTCTGATGAATAATTTTGTATCCACTTGTTTGTTCCTGCGCTTTTCACATTTGATGAAAAATCGAATGAGAAATTCACGACAATGGAGGCGATTAAAATTGCTCGTTAAAAAATTTTTTGTTGCCAAGTGGTAGAACGAGATAGACCAGAGCCAAATGAATTTGTTTCATTTTTACGTGAAAGCCTGGCTCATTATATTATTGATAAAACCAGAGATAAAAAAACAATTGGATATTACTGAATGGATAGAGCTGCTCTTGGATCGTCAATATTTCAAAATTCCATAGAAATTCCAAAGAAATTCCAAAGAAATTCGAAGGAAATTCCAAGCCGTTTGTTCAACTTGACTCTTTGTTCTTCAATTAATTGACCAGTAAAATCACTCGATCAATCAAATTTAAAAGCATCTCCGTCCTGTTTTTATCCTAATCTCAGTAATTTCGAGAAAAATCTCAAAATAAATTGTGATTTTTTTATACCTCAGCTACATCACTAATGATTTGCACCTTGACAATTGAAAAAACGTGACAAAAATAGTATGCATTTAACACCAGAATCAGAAAAGCGTCATGCGGTGCAGCCAAGCGTATGTTGACGTTTACCTGCGAATGGCACATCGCCGAAGTACTCCTCGACGTTGTCAGTGGACATACTCTTATCTGACAATGATACACTTGAGAGTGAACCGCTAGATGCATCTAGAGATCCACCAGGTTGAAACTGGAGCAAGTCCTCCTCGATTTCTGTCTCCATGTCACGAGATCGCCGTTTATAAACCTGTGACAGATTTATGCACATCGACTTTTACATTTTAAAAATCATCTCTCGTTTTTCCATTAAAAATTTCACTCCTCGAACTTGTTGAGATCAAATCATTCCTTATCATTAAAATCTGATTCCAAATTCGTGATTCATCTACTAGAATATCGCGTTTACAAATAATCTAATCAATTAATCACCGCTATCTCATAAATTCTTCGATTATCGGTAATTCTTGACTGACCACAACTGCACTTGACAAGAAAATAACGGATCTCATTAAGACAAAGTAAATATCGTGTGCGATGCACATATCTTGCCAGTGAGGAATCATAAAAATGCAAGCGTACCACATGCCATGAGAAAATGAGAGCTGCTAGAACCCGGAAAAATTCTCACTCAATTCAAATTTATTGAAATGAAATTCCCGTCGATCTCACGGGACATTGAAAGCCAAAAAGAAAAACCAAACATCACAAAACCGGAAACTTCAAGTGGGTGAATATAAATAGCGAGGGAAATATTCACTGCGTGTCTCTCCATCGTAAATATTTCACACGTTAAAAACGTCAGATTTCACACTGTGTACCTACAAGATGTACACAGATGAGGTGTGGAGTAGATATCACGAAAATTCAACAGTGACAGAGTGAAAGAGACGTTTGGTGTCGTTGATTTTAATTGTACCATGCGCTCAGTCCCTCTCCAAATGTTAACCTACACATGGAAAAACATAAGCGATGGTAGCACTCGTCAGTGATGATGGAATGAGACGGAGAGATGATACGAGGGTATTTCAAGGAAACCGCAGGTACAAATTCCCGAGAATTTCTGAAGGAGCTTGCAAGTGAGGCAGGAAATCCTGTGGAGTTAGGGGGAATTCTATATACCAGTTGCCTGAGGAATCAAGACGGATGTTTTCCATGGCTCCACGAATTCGGAAGGCTTCATTATTCAAAGGGTGTCAGCGTCTTGCATTCTGCCGCTCCGTTGGTTGCGCCAAAGTTGACGGGTTGAAGAAGATTCAACCAACCGTCGGCGTCACAACTAGAGCTTTCCCCTCCAACCTCTTTTCCCACTGTCTTTTCTAGTCTTCACACGGCATACCTATATCACGAAACCATTTCTGTCTCGTTTTACAGTATTTTCCCCTATCTTATTACGGTTATCCCCTTCAAGCTATTTCTACCTCGTCACCTTCCGCGAATGTTTCCTTCTTGATGCTGTAATTTTTCAGCTCAACCCGAGAATAATCAACTAAAAACGCCTAATTGTCAAATCATTACCGGATCGATTGATCGATTGGTAGATTAAATAACAAATAGCAAATAGCAAAAATGTTTTGTGTACGGTGCGCAATCACAAAAATTCCCCGAAAGCCTGAAGTAATTCAACGCCTCGTACTCTAGATTCCGAGGATCTCATTTGAAATCTCATCGCCCACATCAAGAGTTTCCAACCCCTTGCCAACTCACCCATCATCTTCAAACAGAACCATCACCAGAGATGCAAACACATCGATGATCATTTCACGTTGTGTGGAAATGGCACACACGTCCTTAAGGATAACCCTAGCAAAAGCATTTGGCGAGCATCAAACATATTTGCAGTTATGTACATCCCCCAGACACAGAAAGATGAAATAGGCCCTCCGTTGAAGGGGAATAAGGTGGAAAAGCCAAGGAAGACGAGCATGGCAGTTGCTTTGGTGAAAGCGGTGAGGACAGGGGACGAGATATTCACTGTGCAATATTTTGTGAAGCGTGTCGAAGGCTCAACGCGAAAGAGCAGGATTGCGGGAATGCACATATGAAAGGAGGTAAGAGACACTGTGGAGGTATCTATATAACGATACAGGGATATACGGCAGTCTGATTTCGAGGAGGATGTGTTATGGATATTCAGAGGAGTCAGTGATGCCCCTTTTGGGATATATACACGATGAGAAACGAGGAGAAGACGTTGGCTCGAGTGGTTGAGGAGGATGGGGTTATATATGGGTTGAACACACCAGAACGATCACAGGATGACACGGCAAACGGGTGAATCCAACCGGCTTCCAAGAAGAAGTGGGTGGTAGCACGAGGAGGAGGATATCCCTCCACACCTCCCCCTTGTAAATCGCATCACAGATCAAACACGATGCTTATATATTAAAGGCAGAGCTCCATTCTATCCACTGCTGTTTATCGTCTGTTCAACTCCAGTGGAATTTTTATATTTTTCTCTCTTCATGCATCATTTTTCATCGGATCCCACCATTACCGCTTGATTCTGAATAATCTTCAATTCATTAGAGAGAATTTAAGTTATTTTATGATTACCTGAGTTTATCTGAGATCTTTGAGTTAAATGACTTTGAATTTTATGGGTCAAACTGCGCACCGAAATCTTACAAAGAACTTGAAGACTTTCTCCCAGTGGATTATACATCAGTTTCAACGGGTTTGATAGTGAGATTCACTTCACCGTTGGAGGATACATGCGCACCGAACTCGAGAGCTATTCTACCGAGAGAAATTGGGCGGCGCTTCAAGTTTTACACATCGCGGGGCATTTATTTGAACGATGTATGACACCGTGGGAGTAGATAAAAATCGCACAAAGGATATGAATATCTCTCTGAGCTCTTGTCAAATAATCTGGTGTATTTGAATGTTTTACATTACTCACTTGACTCAGCGGACGAATTCTCTCGTGGATTGATTTCTCAGCTTGCAACGCGGACGGAGGTGGATGGTCCGGTGTCGGTGGTTGAATGTAGTGTGTTGGACTTGTTGGGATTAGCATCTGAACGCGCTTCAATCTTTTGTCAGTTGCTTCTGTGAGCAATTGTCCATCACCTTCACGTTTATCATCGAGTAAACTCTCCTGTGAGGACTTCAGCGTCAGAAATGCATTTGATACGAACGTCTGGTCATGGGATACCGCACTCTCACTGCAGGGAGATACATCAACACCTGGAGTATTCTCAAAGTCATAATTCTCGTAAGCTCGTTCAGCGTGTCGACGTAGCTTTCGCCGTGGATTTTGCAGTTTGATGAGCTTATCACCGTAGACTGCTGTAACTGCCACTGGCTCGACCTCTGGCCGTTTGTTACCATCGCTGTAACGAGCCTTCATGTCCACGTATTGATCTACACTTCTTGTTACGTGACGTAAGTGATCCCTGCGGGACTGAAGGGTCTCAAGATCTATGTGACTCCTTGCTCCACTTCTTGCCAAAAATAAATACTCGTAATTGCTTGGACCCAGTGAACAATCGGCGGATAATGACATCTGGGTTTGGAGATGTGTTGGAGATACTGATAGGTTTCTTCGGGGTGGCTTTTTCGGTGGAGTTGGCTGAAAAGAACAATCATAATCTTGCAGAACTAAACTATACCTTTAATTTCCATAAATTTTTTAAAGAATTGAACAAAAGGATTGTGGAGGTTTGGACAAGAACTCGGTGAAAGTGAGACTTACTGAGACTTTGCTGTTGGATGCGGAACTGTGGAGAGAGCTCGACAGAGGTGCCATTGGCAAATATATACCAGGGGCACAAGAATCATTTGGCAAACAACGCCTGTCCCTTCGGCTTGATCCACCAATACTGGACGAGGAGGAGACACTCAATTGGTCTGACTCCCTTCCACTCAGTCCCGGGGGCAATGTCAAGGACAGATCCTCCGAGGCATAACTACCCTCTGTGCAACGAGGCACCGGTGGTGTTTGATAGAGACCGCTGTCAGACCCCCTGAACAGCCAAACATTAAAATTTATCATTAATCGCTCAATTGACCCAGCAAATGATCTCGGCGGCATCATAAAAGTTCAATGAAATATTTAAAAATATTGAAAAACTATCTCTGATGAAGCAAGCGCGCTAATCCACACCGAATGCTCATAACTCAAGACTTTGATACTCAAACAGCTAAATCCAAATGAATAAAAATCTGGCGATGATCTGTTTTGTTATGAAATAATAAGCACTTGTTCCATCTATGTGTTCATACCGTAGGGTGTCACCAGATGTTACTGGTGTTGTGTTGGTAGATGTGTTAAACAGTCTTTCATCGGGTGTTCGATCGGAGCTTGTGAATGTATTAATTGAGGTCATTGTATCAGACATTGACAATAGTACACTATCAAACAGCGAGCTTGGATCAGAGTAATCATCGTTCATCTGCCCAACTCCCTGGGCACCCAGCTGGTCATCACTGAAATGCCTGAACATTTCGTCAATTATTTTAAATTACTCGCAATTACTTAGCCCTCACACAGAACAACTGACAATTGTTTTATCAAAATAAATTCCCCCAAGTCACTGGCATCGAAAAATTCCCGAAATTTCCAGAATTGACGGAAAAAAATAACTACTCGTTGATAAAAAATGGTTGAGTTTTGGGCTGAGAAGGAGGTAAAATTTACATTGTTTAACATGATGGATTCATCTCGAGGCGGTGGTACCGGGCCAACAGCGTCAAACATTCAATGGTAACGCGGGGATAGAAAAGGTGGTATGAAGGGAAGCTGGTTGGTCCTGGCCAGTGAGGTTTCAAGCAGTGGCAAATCGAGAGAGCCCCCCCTTCATAGTTTGTACCAGTGCAGAGGGTGACCCCGAGGCGTACACCCACGGACTTCAACCATCCACCCTGCCTACATCAGGAAAATTAAACCAAGCCAAGCGGTGCTTAACGCGCTGGAGCTACACCACCTCTTCACCCCATCCATCCCCCAAGTCATCCACCAGAATTCACCCCTCACCCTTGCCCACCCCTCTGAATCCACTCACCCAATCCAGAGAAGCGTTATGCCACACGGTTATTCCTGCACCTTCCAGCATTCACCTCCTCTCCTCACGTCCCTCATTTTGATATTTCCATCTCCCTCAAACTCCTCCTCAACCGTTATGATCATGTGGCTCGGTCTACATCTGTGCTTTTGTTTGCCCACATCTCCTGTATTAAACGCAAAACGCCCGGGATTTCGGGGGAGTCCATATCGACGTGTTGATACCCACAAAATACACGGAGAGAAAAATATTGGAAATGATTCGTGAGGAGTTCCGTAAAAATTCATGTTTTAAACGTAAATATCGTGGGTACGAAAATTCAAGAATCAGCTCCGTAATAATTACTGTATCCTTTTTTTTTTATTCAAGTGAGATTTGAACTCACGACCTCTGGCATGTCCGGCAAGGATCTATTTTTTTTATTGTGACATCCCTTTTATTTGGTTGTACGCGTGTAAATTGGAACTGTGTAATTTTGAGGAGTCAAAAAAAAAAAAACGGGAAAATACCCCAAATTTTCCGGAGCAAATAATAAATGATTTTATATAAAAAAGACTGAAATCATCCAGGCCACAATTATTTCCCTGTATTTCTCTCCGTGTATCAACCTCACAATTTCGCTCAGAATTTTTAGTTGAAGAAAGAGCGAAATGTAAGAGAAAAAGAGTGGAGGTGAATTTTGCTGAGAGATGGTCGATACGCCTTTGTCAAGAGATACGCGGTTTTATTTTCTTGGCTAGTCTTTTTTTGTCTGCTCCAATTTTTTTTTTTTGAGTATGCTCAGTAACCGTGACACACTGCATAAAACCAGCGCGAATTGTAATGAAATGGGGGATTTCGTACTGTTGTTGAAATTGTCGTGATTTTGCTTGATGCATTCATTTGGCTGACGGTGTGATTCTTACCTCGGGCATTGTTCTTAATTACATTCTCGCGAGACTCGGAGGTATAGAATCCGAGGGGTTCTTGGTATTGTAATTAGGGTGATGTATGGTGCTTGTTTATTTATGAATGTAGACGTTTCATATTGAGTTATTTCACTGAGAGAATAATGTACTCCGTAGGTGGAATGATTCTGTCGCATATTTTACGATGATTTTATGTTACAAAATGCATTGGAAAAAAACAATAAGTGTTAATTCCTTTTTTTTAACATATTTCACATGTTTAAATGTAAACGTATAAAAAAGTGATGGCCTTCACTGAGGAAATCACGTGTTATAGGTAATACAGCTTCCAGATGCTTCCAGAGAAACCAATAAAAACAAGACATAACAGGGTGAGAAAGATTAAATGAGAGATGTCTTTCAATGGAAAATGGACGAAAGACATGAGTTGTCATTCAGTGACGAAATACGTAAATAACTGAAGTCAATTGTACCGCAGCCTTCCAGAGATGGCGAAATTATCATGAGAATTTTTTTTTTCGCAGATCTTACGGCTCTTACAAAGTCTCTATATTCACTCCTATATATTTCTCCGTTATTTCGATTCCTAGACATTGTGAAGACTGACATTGACGAAACCACAGAGAGAAAAAATATCTGTCACGTCAATTTACGAGCCACGAGAAAATCTGTACATTTTAAATGCAAATTTTAATATACATTAACTTGTAGCATGTTAATTTCACTTGAAGAATTTTTATGGTCAGTGCCTTGTACGTCATAAGGGCTGAATTATTGATGATAACCGGAACATCTCAATGGAGATGTAATTAGGAGTGCAGATAATTATTCCACCACAAAGTTCATATTTCTCTCGGTGTGAAAGGTATTGTTAAAATGATTACGAATATGATATGAAAGATATGAGAGTTTTGAAAACTTACAAAGACATGACAGATGTACCGGAAACTCGGCGATCCTCGTCCCGAGGTTTGTGGTAAAATTGCCACTGTGTGGGTGACGATCCTTCACCAGGAGATAAATCATCGCCAGGACGAACATTCTCATAGGGGCTACCCAGTGAGTCATTGCCCTGGACTGGTATCGGTGGTAAATTTTCACTGTCCGCATCACTCTCCACTCCGGAAGACGATCGATGTCCTTGAAAAAAATTGTGATTAGATAAAAAAATGAACCCAAGGGTTCGTAATTCGATAACAGAATATACTTACGTTTTATCACTGCGGTGATATCGTGTGTAACATGAGGTGGAAATTGTCCAAGTAAATCCAAAACTGTGTTATGCCTCGAATCGCGAATACCAAGATCCACTCCACGATCCAAAAGTGCCCTTACCACCTCCATTTTCCCACACAGGGCTGCTTCATGCATAGCAGTACCTGCTGAGGTGCGTGTGTTGACATCCACCCCGGATGCCAGTAACACCTCAACCACAGCCCTGTAAATTTTATTTTATCATTTTATGGTCACCCTACTTGTCTCTCAAATAAATTCCAAACTAAACATGAGTAATTTATTCAGCTGATAAACATTGTACGTCGATGTAATTACCGATCAGTCTTGACTTTCCAATTTTTTATTCACCAATTTCCCCTCTAAGTAGCTACACTCGATTTATGAATAATTCAAAAAAGTCCTGATATCATCAAGACAATCTGACGTTGTGATAACATGTCCCACCCAGCAGAATCAATTTCTCGGACGATTCTATATCAAAATACAGCCGACGTTATGCATACAGAAATATTCCTGTTGCCGGTACGATTCTGCCACTGGGCGAAGCTCCACGATAAAGTAAAGGACAGAAATTCACGATTTGTATTGGAATGCAGGGAGCAAGAGAGAAACCACAGGAAAATAACTCTACATATAGTACATAGAGTTTGGAATATAATGCCGTGGGGATGAGCCATATATAGAGGGAAAAGGGAGGGCCCAGTGAATCAAGCAGCGGTAGCGGCAGCCATCCATCGCCAGATAGGATTGAAGCCGGTGAGATCGGATTCGCAATGCACCTATGTTGTTATTACCGTACCATAGGGGTATTTGTACTGGCTTACCGAGAGCAGAGATATTGAATCCGATAATTGACATTACCCCGCCTGGTGGTGCTCACCACCCACCGCCACCCCTTCAGTATATATTTTCCCTCTTTGTCTATTTCGTTGGTGAAATTTTGGTCATGGCAATCCCCAATGCCCATGAAATCCCATTGCCCAGAGGTACCCATAGGCGTTCAGATTTTCACGCACGTGCGTATGGACAACAACCCTCCCTACCCTCTCCATCATTCCTCATCCCTCTTCCACCCCTTTCACCATTTTTTTTTTTTACAGAACCAGTCATGTTTCATCACACCTACACACTCAACGGGATTTTACAAATGCGCTTTTAATGCAATTTCCCTCTCCATTATTTGCAAAGAAAAAAAGATCACGCACCAGCCGTTATTTAACCAAAGTTCGGCATGATAAAATGTCAGCGGTTTGGAGTTGTGTGACAGAGATATTGGGGCTTAGGATGGCTGTATTTGTCTCTCACTCGGCATTCGAACTGGGAAATGCTGGGGAATTCATTCGTCTGTGGCGAAATGCGATCATAGCATTATAGTCGAGGCGTTGTTGAAACGATTATTGGCATTCGACGTATAGAGGCAAACGCGTTATTGCCAGGACAAAAACACTGTGCGTGGGAAAAACATGAGGGAGAAGGCGATGATACGGGGGATGGGTCGCGATTACAATGTAACATTGTTGGTTGTTTCGCGGCAATTTCAATTTCCAACAATTTAAATTCCTGGTATAACCCGAGATTATTCTAAAGGCTTAAAACGGAAGATTAAATGGTGATGCTAACATAACACGGCCATTTCGTTTATCAGGGGGTGGCGGGGTGAGAGCGGATTTCGATGGTCATGTTATTGGGTATTCACCGCGCTTTCATTTCAGAAAAAAAGTGATTTCGTTTTTGGCTATTCATTTTGCATAATCAGGAGTGGATATTGGAGGATTTACTGATGCATAATCTTTTATGCCTTTGACGCTTTTTTTTGTGTGCAGATTTCAGAGGAACGTGGGATCATACACGGAGAGAAAAAAACAGGAAAGAGGACGTGAGTAGTCACGTAATCGTGCGCTGAAGAATGATTTCAATAATTTTTATCGGGAATCATCCGATCTTTTCACGCGCAACTCTATTTCTTATTGGCCATTCCGAATAAAACTCTTCTCTCATTGGTCAATTGGCTTTGTCATCATCAACACAACGGAATCAAATGACGGGGGCGGAGCGTGCGTTCGATCTCTTGTAAACAAGTAGAGACGGTCAGCCATTCGACACAATAACAATAGCAAACCTCTGGCGTATGAGTAAGATCCTTCGCCTGACATATCAGAGGTCGTGAGTACCAATTTCACTTGAATAAAAATAAAATGGCGCAGTAAATTTTATAGAACTGATTCCCAAATTTTCCTACCTATAAGACTTTTCACTTTTCCCACTGTTCCCAATGTTTTCCTCTCCGTGTACTCCGTGCACATTTTTAATGATTGACAGTAATTTCTCTTTTCGTCTTTGAATTTTAATCAATAATATATTTATTATAATATATAATAATTTTCATTGATCCATTTATAGATATTTAAGATCCATTGAAAAGACAAATTCCCAAAGACTGGCATTCGAAATTCATGCGAAAACAATATTTCCTAAAATTGATATTTGCTAGGCTAACAAGTTACCTCACGAAATCTATTACAGTAATAGGTATGTCGTCGAGGCATGCGGGGTATGGAGGATTAACCCCTCGAAGATTTGTCCCCCTGGTCCCTTATCAGGCAATATCTTAGGTCGACAACATGCAACGTCTCGTGTCTAATACGATTCGCGTAATAGGAAAGCGATCAGGCATTCGCACGGATGGCTGTTATAGGTACATCTATATAGCAAAGGGCTGAAGGGCAAGAGGGAATGAAGAGGAGGGGTGTGTAAAATGAGAGGGAGATACACAGGATAGCTGGGGTGACCCCTGAGCGGTTGGCGTGGCCATGTTAATACAGTACTATGGACTAACTGCTACCAGCAAGCCCATCCTCTTGTCCATATGTATGTGAAAGCCCAGTATATATCGAACTGAAACGGGATTATGCAACGGTGTGCTGTCTGATTGGCTCTAATCGGTGGGGGGCCACTGCAAATGGCTCGTCGTAGTTATACGAAAGGTCTAACACGGGGTACAAATGAGGGCTGGCCATGGCCCTCAACGTATTACAAACGTCTATTCATTGTCAAGCAATTGTCAAGCTAAATCCATATCACGAGCTATTCAATATCTCGAGTGATATTAATTTGTCAGTTATCGAGTAAAAGTAATAACTCACCTGTGACCATTTCGTGATGCCAAATGCAGGGGCGTATGAGGGAAGATCAAGGATGAGGAAGAACATCTCAGGGGCTCGATCAACTCGGGATGAGTTCTAACCAGTAGTTGAACAGTCTCTAGTCTGTAAATCATCAGTTATTCAGCACGAATTATTCAACTCTAGGTGAAATTAAATGTAATGGGAATAATAGAGTTAAATCGTTGAGTTCTTCTGGGATTGATCATATTTATAGATTTATTTGGATGATCCATTCAGAATGACATATCTCTTCATAAACTTTCATTTTTTATCTCAGCTATCTACCTGCCATATTGTGCTGCGAGATCGAGTGCAGACTCGCCCCGGCTGTTACGGATACTGGGATCACATCCGTACTGCAGCAGCTGTGACACGACTTCCGTATGGCCATACTGTGCGGCACAGTGTAGAGCCGTTTCATTGTCCTTTGTCTGCAAAAAAAATAATAGTCATATTCACTGAAAAATTGAAACAAATATTTTGGTAAATAATTCAATGGTGAATTGACAATGACGTACGGCGAGATTGACATTTGGTACGGATGGCCCTTGACTCAGAATTAAACGAACGATATCAGCATCACCAGCCCACGCTGCCAAATGAAGTGGTGATGAGCCTTTGGCATCGACAACATTCGTCGATGCCTCATACTGAAGTAGAATCTTCACAACATCTCTAAAATTCATCAATCCATCAATTATTTTTTAATATCGCCATAAAATAATAAGTAGATTGAATTATTATAAAATTGTGATTCATTACTTGTGGCCATTTAATGCAGCATGATGCAGTGCTGAGTATCCACTGGCATCCTGCACGTTAGCTCCGGGTCCTCGTCGTAAGCTGCAACAAAGGATAATCCTCCATCGATAATCTTTCCAAAAATAAAGGGCTACGGCTAGTTGGTGAAATTCAAACAATGAAAACTCGCTGAAAACTTGAAACTTCGATTCTTCACTGAGAATCGTAGAATTGTTTCGGCTCACTTTGACTCCGAACTCATCCGCGCTACGTCCAATTAATTCAACGAGCAATGGTCTCATTCGAGAATTCTCCACCCCCTCCCAACAAACCTACACCGTGTTCACGTCGGGCGCTTCATTTCCGCAATCAAGAATTCACGTTTACTCTCACGTCAACATCTGCGTATTCAGGGCTTTGCCCTCCCATCTCTCTGTACCTCTCCTTTTCGCTGTTTAATCGGGTGCAGGGCAAAGTTGCCAGTGAGCTAGAGGTTATTGTAGAATACCCCGAATACTCCCCTGGTCTTTCCTAAAATGATGACGCCAGTGAAGTTAGATCCCGGTCATGAGGATCTGGGCAAAGAAATTTACACCGGCGATAATCTGCAGGGGATAATCCCTCGTCGTTGGGTCACCACTCACTCCTCTGTACTTTCATTCAGGACACATGCTCTCGTTAAACGCCATTGTTGCATGTACCACAACGTTTTCAGACTTAGTTATTGCGAGAAAATATCTGCATACAGACGCCCCGGGGGTGTTTCAGGGTGGCCTAATACCCATTTATCCATCCACCTCGGGGAGGAAAAACCGTCTACATTCTGTTAGGTGATTTTCTGAATTATCCGGGGTGCCTTTATTGACACATATTGTCCGATACCCTTTTTTTGGGAATCCCCGGGAGTCTGACAGGTACCATTTCTTACCGCGAAAATCGTAGATCACCCGCTTGGAAATATGATTAAATTTTTGAATGAAAAAAGTTAGTGTTCTGCAGGTTATCGTTAAAATGTGCAAAAAAAAATCAGAGCCTCCCTAAGACTTCCCAATCCCCAATCATCCCCCATTGTCCGAAAAAAAAACACTCCTATCCTGTTAGTGCTTCCCCCAATTACTCGAATCACTTTTATTGCTCAATATTGCCAAATATCCCAGTCACCGAACCTCGGCCACTCTATTCCCCCCTCATCAAACAACCCCCAATATCTCCCAAAAAACATATTTATTGGCTCCTTCAGTCACAATATTTCCCAAATCCCGCCGCTCGCAGGATTAATATCACCCAAATCTAACAGACCAGAACAAAGACAACTCGTCCTCTCCACAAATCCCACGTTCCAATTTCCAATAATCATCCATCCAACCGATCGATCAATTTCCAGACCCTAAAAACCAAGAAAAATCGATACAGCATGTCCTGATAATCCCAACCCGAAGAATCCTTCACATCCAAATTATTTTCTCTCTGAAGCCGCCGCCAAAGTCCAGACCGCCCTCTTACCCCATTGTATCAAACATCAAAAACATCAAAAAAAAA